ATATAATAAAAAGTGGTGTAGTGGGGACAACAGACGGCTTGTGTGTGATGTATTATTGGCATTTTTCTTTCAAATTACCATTTTCTTGCTGCTTTGGGAGAAAGCCATGATTTTGCTGTGATTAGTACACTTTTAACAATCTGGAATAGATTCCTGATCTTATTCATGTGACTAGTTCAATGCCCATTTTTACGTTTTAGTGCAAACCCCTACATATGTGCCTGTAATACCACAAAAATAAGATGTTTCTTTGTGGAAATTTTTATAGAATTTGGATACTGATCAAATATTTTTAGAAGTGGAGAATTAATGTGGCTTGACCATGTAAATGATTATTTTTAATGAAAAAGATTTTAGTATTCATCATTCTTTCTCTCTTCCTGATCTGTGTATTGCTTTGTGCTAATCTTAAATAATGGATCTACATCAAACTTAATAAATTAGTAACTGTTAATGGTGTTTGGATAACAGTAAGTAACCAAATGACACCTTGTTGACATTGACTTTTTATGTGTTCCAATAATACATTTTGAGTTTTAAAGATAAGACAAAGCAAAATAGTTTTGGCAAGTATTTGAATCCTTCACAACTCATGGGCAATGGCTTTGTTTCAGTCCAAGGACCCTGCTTTAAATACACTTCCCTTTACATGGTCCTAAGCCCCAGACTTTGAGATCTGTGTCTTTCTCAGAATTTGCATTTTCTGACTCTGTTCAGCTAATGCACCATGTTGGGCTGCATCAGTCATGCCACGTTATGAAACCTAACGAGATGTGACTGATGCAGGCTGACATGATGTGTCACAAAGCAACATATCAGATCGCAAACTTGAAAGAAAAGAAAACAAACTTTTTTTTTTTCTTATCAAAGCCTAAATTAATGAAGCAGCATATATTTTTTAAAAGGTGGACTAGTTTCAAACCTTAAGAGATTTTTCCCACACAAAATTTCCCCATCCTAACCAGAAAATGCCTCCCATCCACACTCCTTGCTCTCTCCAAGGTACAGTCAAAGCTAGAGAAGATGATGAGCATAGGTCATCTCAGCACTGCTGCCATGGTGGGTCTGATCCTAGAAGGTTTAGATCATGTTCAGAGGAGTGGTTTCCGCAGGTGCTGGAGGTTATCACCTTTCCCAGGGAAATCAGCACCTTCTAAAAACATTCTTTGAATACAGTGACCTTTATCATTTTAGCTATTTTTTTAATTACTATTTTCTGCTGTTCTATTTCGTTAGGCTGTCAGCTTCCACCCAGAGCACACGCTCAGTCACAGGCTTCATAGAACATTACTCCAGAGCAGGATTATTTCAGCTGCAAACAATACATTGTCCTCCATAGTCTGTGCACCATAGTTTGTCCCCGCTCGCTGGCCCACCTTCACTCTAATTCTCCTTACTACAAATGCAATGCATTACACATGATCTCCTGAACTATCAGGAAAATTTCTTCTTCTTTTTTTTTTTTTTCTGAAGGGCTTTCATATAATTTTATTGGAAGATATAGAGTGGGTAAAATATATATGAAGTATAGCTGGCTAAGAGAGAACCTTCCAACCACTGCTAGATAAAACATTATGAATTTATTGCCAACTTATCTGGGAAGGCTTATTTTAAGAGGCTAGTGCCCACAAGAAGTTTTTGAGCTAAAATTAACGGGTGGGATACCTAAGAGAAATAGGCATTTTCCTTCACCCCTTAGTTACAAGCAAATTGCAGATATTGTTATCTTTGCAAGTGAGAATAATCTCTAGTTTTTGTACTACTTCTGCTGTAAACAATGTACCACTTGCTTTCCTATGACCCTCACTCTGTATACATATTTATATATTATTCATACCAGATTAAAAATGAATGTGCTCTTTACCACAGTTGTACTGCACAGTGACAATACAAATTAACTTATTGTGTACTTACTTTTCACAAGGCAGTGATGTGAAATTTTGATGGCCTGAAAAGTAAGTTGTGGGGGAGGCAACGCAGAACTGAATCCTTGTAGGTGCACTTTATATTGTCTGATTTATTAAACTGCATTGATTTAATAAATGACATTCTCTATATGGAATTGCATGGGTCTGACCTTGCTTCAGTGATGGGGAGGAAGAGTTTGCTTTTAGTCTGGTGTGTGTGAGGTGGTAAGCTCCATCCATGCTTTGTGGATTCCTCATTTAGAATTTGTTCTTAGATGGAAAGAATTAGGATGGCCATTTGACGATAGCTACACGTGGGCAAAGCAGAGCTGCTTGGTGAGATTTCACATTGTTGGCTAGTGGTACCAATTCTACCTAAAACTTTTCAGCGTATTTCCATGCTAGGTGATGCTTGAGGGCTTCAGAGGATGGCTCACAGGATGTTGTGCGTGCTCACTCCCAGAGTCCCACTGCTCTGTCTGTGCTCCCTGTACGTTGCTCTGCATGCAGTTACCAGTGGCATTATTATATCACCAGTCTCTGGCTATTGCAGCACACAGGACTAAATAAACAGGATATCTTTTTGCTTCTTCCACAGCATCAATAAAACCAGAGTAAATAAGGCTGGTGGATAAGTTGTACCATTTGTCACAACTTAGCAGGGAAGTTAGCAAGGGAATCAGTTGTCAGATGGTCAAATGGAACACTGGGAATACTGAAAGGGAGCTGCTGCTGCTGTTGTAGTCTCCTATTTCACTACATGTGAGTTGCAGGCCTCTGTCCTTTGAAGAAAGAGGAAATCACTTCAATTCTTCATGGAGCAGGTCTCCTTCCCCTTTACCCAACATTTCTCCCACTTTGGCCAAGGCATTTTGGCACGTCCCCAAGCAGAATATGCAACAGAGCCCCGGGGAATGCCCGTCAGAGGCATTATGCAGGAGGGAGGAAAAGGAGAAGGAAAGAAAGAGTCCAGAACTCAGCTGTAAATTCTGGTGAGTTTATCCATCTCTGACAAACAACGGGGAAGATGTAACAGTTTTCTTAGATTTTTTTTTTCCCTGAGTTTCTCAAATAACCCTAGATTTTCCGAAACAATGAAAACCAGTCTTTCTCTGGACTTTTTTCATACCCACACAGTTTTGAGACTGCTTCCAGTTTTCAAAGCTATTATATTCAAAATATTTCAAGCATATTTGCGCTCCTGGATTTATTTTAGGACTGAATCTAAGAGCCACTAGGGACATCTTCAATCTCTTTGTTGACTGTTTCCACATATTCTTCCAGCTGATTTTTTTAATAAAAGACCAATCAGATTTCTGTAACATTATCTATATAGGTTTCTCCCATTGCTATTGCTATGGAATTTTCTACTGAAATTTGACTTTGTAATGATTAGCAGCTTACGGATGTAATTTCTTTTTCCTTATGAAGTTGTTGAGGAAAATGTCTTCCTTTATCCCAGGAGAGAACTAGAAGATCAGCTCACATTCCATCCCAAGATTTATGGGTTAGGGGCCTTGAGGGGGCGGTCACACTTCTGGCAGTCTCCAACTTGTAAAAGCAAAGGGTGGAGGGGAGCTTTGCATCCTTGAGAAAGGAAACATGCCTGCAGTCCTGTGGCATGGGGCTTAAGTAACTGTGGACTGGACTTAATGCTTCTTTCCCCCGTGTAGCAAGCAGTACGTTTTGGGGGACTCAGCCTTCAAGTGTTAGTTTTGATGTTACAGTAAAAATTGCAAATTATCTTTGCCACACAGAGCACTAATGTTGGCTCAGGTGAATTTACTCTGCTAGAGATGCTCATACTGGTGTGTCAGCAACAGCGCAAGGTTAAACCCAGGAGTTACCCAGGCTCCCATCTCTGCTCTCCCAGTCCAGGTAACATCAGACCAGTGCACAACAAGCATCTATTTACTTATCTGTTAAATTCCCACCTGAATTTGGGGTGAGATGGTCCCAGACCCTTTCCACATAGTGGAAAGCATTGTCCTCCCCCCCAGCTACTCCAGTGTCTAGTTCATGCCGGCTAGGTAGTACCACAACAGCAAAGGAAAATGTGCTCTTCAAATGTGGAGATAGGGTATTGTTTTTCACTTATCCTGGCTTTATGTAGATGGTCTGGCACATTTATTTATTCATTTATTTGAGCAAATTAAAGCAAGCTAAGCGCATTTGACCTCAGATGGTACTGGTTTAAGTTAATTTGAGAGACAAAGCTCATAAAGTTCCAGTAAAACACATCAACAACTTCCCAGCATAGGTTGAAATGTGATTGCTGAAATATAACCTCCAAAACCAGATACAGCATGGAGATTCAAAGTCACAATAATCTGAAAAATACGTGAGAGTATACTGATAGCCTTACTGGGGAGTGATATCTTTCATTCATGACTTCCTTTTGCAATTGGTTGCTGTTTCACCTACAAGTGCATCTATCAGATTTTGTGCATTAACACTCCTTCTCTAATCTAGCTTGGACATTTTATTTTAAAGCTGGTGATAACCTTGGGCCCCTGTCCAGCAAACACTTATGTGCTTTTGTATCTTTACTCACAGGAGTAATCTCACTGGAGTAAATGTTTGCAGGTTTGAGACCTCTGTTATCTCAATCCATTATTTCTTTCCATTAAAAAGTAATTTGTGATTAAAATAAAACATACAATTCTTTACTCTGAAACCCACCCAAAGACAAAGTGTGTTTATCAGACTATGGGTCTGCACACTGTCATTCTCAAATTGCACTTCAATAAAAAAGATAATTAACAAATGTAAAAGAAGGCAGACTCGTATGCAGTTGCCCTGTATTTACCAGAGTTTCGTTTTGGATCACAGGCTGACGGATTTACAGCTGATTCAGAGGAGGGAGGTGAAATAGCTGCACTTCTCTGGAAAATCTGATGCAGAGTTTTTTAAATGCAGTTTCTTTAGGCATCATGTGAATAGCACAGATTTCTTACCCTTGCTGAAGACATGTGGCCATGTCCCCCACCCAGCAGAAGGGATTTCTGCTCAGGAAGCTCTGGCTTGTTTGGTTTTGTCAGGCTGTTGCATACATATAATAAAAACCTAACCCAACTCTCATCTGTCACGCAGGTCACAGGCCTTTCCAGTGCAGATACTGCCCATACAGTGCCTCTCAGAAGGGAAATCTGAAGACCCATGTTCTCTGTGTCCATCGCATGCCTTTTGACAACAGCCAGTATCCTGACCGCAGGTTCAAGCGCTCCAGAATTGACTCCGAAGCTTCTGGGAATTTGGAGGAACTTGCAGCTGTCAAGCCGGGGAGCTCAGCAGAGCTAAAGGAGGAGGGCAGCAAGGCCCAGGAGTGATGCAGCTCGGTGGGTCCGTCTCCACACTGCAGTAACCTTTTATACTGAGTTTAGGTCTGCATTTGGGTGAGGGTTGGCTAACTGCCTTCCATGCAAATGAGCAGCGTGCAAATTCCCAGAAGTGTACAGGAGCCTGAAAACAGTCAAATATATATACATGTACACACACATGTGGGTGCATATATGTATATTTACACATGCAGATATTCAGTCATACACTCTTTGAATATGTCTACATACACACACACACAAAATACATATATTCATATGTGTATGTTTGAATATATATATTACACACGCAAAATAAATTTCCAGCCCTTGAAAATGGCTGCTAAACAGTTACCTGGCAACAAGTACTTCCAAACAATATAGGTGGGATAATAAAGTGATTTTAAAATGTTAGGAGGTCGTTAGTTATTTAAAAAGCAGGGCAATTTCAGACTTTAAAGAGGTCTTTGACCAAAAATAATGCTCTTAACAGAAAAACAATGCTGTCTCAACAATTTAGTGTTGCCTTGAAGATTGAGGGGCTGTGTTTTCATTGTTGAAAACACCTTTATAATATGACACCAGCTGCTGTCATTTGCCTAGCATAGTAATGAGATGTCTTGGTAGACTGCCATGGTGCCAGTCTGACTGGAGCTGTCATTGCAGAGAAAATCAATTCAAGCGGTGTTGCAACTGCAGTGTAGGAGAAACCTTAGACGGCCCATAAACTAGGGTCAGTTCTGACCTATATTTAAAAGTATTGTGATATTTCATTTTCTTTTGTGTTTTTTTTTTTGTTTGTTTGTTTTTTAATATACAGCCAAATGAATCAATGGTTAGAAAATAAAAAATCTGCAGCCTGGTGTGTCACTGCAGAGTTGAAGTGTAATTCCATCTTCTGTAATCATCTTGCAGTATTGAGGGAAATGCTTTTATTCTTTTGTTTGTTTTTTTTCCATGTTGGTGAAGAAGTAAGTTACTATACAAGTAGAAGTACAGTATATAGAAATATTGTTTAGTGAAACTAGTCACCCTTATCTGTAGAAGAAACTGGTGAGAAACAGAATTTTATTTCATAGAAGGCTGGTAAATTTTTTTCTTCTTCTTTTCTTGTTGGTTAATTTCAAACTTCTCCTAAATTTACTTTTGTTTTTTTTTTACACTTGAATGAAGGATTCCCCCGTCATGGTTAATTTTCATGTGTTAGTTTTTGTAAGTGTTACAGACATAGTGCAGAAGTTTCTTCTGGAGCATGCTCTTATAAAGCAGCTTCACCTAAAATATGAATCCAAACTTCCTGCTCTTTGTCTCTAATGAAGGAAAGTGTTTTAGCCAATATTTCTTTGGTTTTGTAAAACAAATGTGTTCTCTATTTTTGCAGATTTTAGCTTTTTTACTGATTGGATGCTCCAAATTTAGGAAGGTCTTTGCCACATAGAAAGCTTTTGAGAGACTATAATGAATCACATACTTAAAAAATAATAATAATTAAAAAAGTAAGAATAATAACTAAAGATTTATTCTGAAGTTCTCTGACTGGCCTGAAATGTTAGCCTTCTAGTGTACTTCCTTTGACAGAAGCAAAATTGGTGCTGTTTATTGTGATGGTAGAGAAGTATTAACTTCTTCTAAAACAAAGTTATCCAGGCTTTAAAAAAAATAAAGGGGAATAAAAAAAAAAAAAAGTCAATATTTCTTTGCAGGCTGGGAGCACAGAGTAAAACCCCAGGGCCTTAAAACTTCAGCTCTGCCGAAAGCAGTTTACAAAAAATACTAAACTGCAATCAATGTAAATAAAATCCTTAGCGCTACCCTGAGACTAGAAAAAAGGAATCTCAGGCTAATAAGGAATACGGTTTGCATATGCTGTCGGAAAGGATGTCATCCAACTGAAGTTTCAGTTTAAATGAGGTCACTGTGTAACTTGGACCCATCTGGCACAGAGCAAGCTGCTTTTCTTGTTTTTCTAGTATAGTTCTCACTGCCTTACTTAAATCGAGCTGATAAACTTAATGCAACTGTTTCTATGATCCTAGATAAAGGATTGAAATGTTATTGGAACTTTCTGACTGTAGTAAGCTTTAGGATTTTAACTGCACTACTGTGTTTGGTGACTGTGTCAGTCGCTTGCTTTTGTGTGTTTGCGCCGCCTTCAGTATCTTAGCAAAATAAAAAAGAAAAAAGAAAAAAAAAAGCTTAAACTGCCCACCACATTCCATTTCTTGCACTTTTTGAGCTTTTTTCAGTATTCTTTTGTGTCTTCTGAGCATTTTCAAATACGACAGGCAATAATTCTGTTTGTGACACTGGAAACATCTCTCGCTCCTTGTGATGTGCGTGTTGATTCCATTTGGTCAGGTGCTACTGTCCCTATCCTCCCCTCTGACATAGCCCTTTTCTCCAGAACATTTGTAACTTGTAATACAAACAAGTGACAGCAGCAGTGATGCATTGTCAGTTCCTGAATATCATCATGCTTCTCATATCTAAACATGTCAAGTTTTTTCTCTGTAACTTCTGTAGTCTGTGATACTGGTCATAATACTGTCTACATTCCTACACAAAGAAAAATTTCTATCTTGGAGAAAATTGGAGATAAATAGAGTAGAGGATTTTGTTGCTATGCTTGTAACAATTAGAAAACTTTGTATTTAAAGTTTATTCTTGGTCATTATTTATTATTATGATACGTCAGTTGACAGAACTTTATTCTGGTATAGAAGAATTAAAAGTTGTTTTTTCAGCACTGATTGTTTTGTTTCTGCTGTTAGAATAAAAATGTCTTTGAAGCAGTACAGTTTTACCCAGTGTTTTACGCAATAAAACCTCTACCTCTGAAAAAAAAAGTTTTCCTACTTGCTTATGTTTATTAGGAGCAGTTAAAACATTCTTTTCTGCAGCTTTGTCAGATTAAAAAAAAATTAATGTCAGTAAATCTGCAGTTGTTAGGCTTTTACTAGAGTGTGTTATGCTGGGTGTATGTGCTCAGTCCATTTATTAATTTGAACAAATCTATATACAGTATATGCATATATATATTATATATATTGTGCTGAATTAAAAGACTGTGGAAATCTGTTTTAGCATGTAGTAATAATTGTTTTATATGCCACTACTTATGTACTATAGTAAAAAACTTGGGGATATATCAAGCTTTGATCTGAAAGTGTTTGAAGTGTGTATCATACACTGATGTATAAAGTCATGTTTTCACATTAAAAAAAGATTTTTTGTATAGGGCATATATTTGGCTTTAGAAAATTGTAAGGTTTACTGTTATGGTGCATGTTAAGAAAGGTGCCCACACTTCAAAGCATATGAAGGTGCACTCCCATTCTCCTGGATGAATCTTTTTTCTTCCTGGTTAAGGTTTTATTTGCACATTTGAAAGCAAATAAATTAAAGGATTTTTCAATTCTTAGAAAAAGTAGGTGATTAACATAAAAAAAAAAAAAAAAAAGATATGCCAAATCTGTGAAACTACAGAAAGTATGAGGAGGAGAGAGGAGAGGCCTTGCAAACAAAAAAAACTGGCAAGGAAAACATATTTAGATAAGAGAAAATTTCACATTAGATGAAGCCAGTCGTACCCACAGTAATAAAGTTATGCAATAGCTTCAATTCTCCGGTAGCAAAAGATACCAAAATTGTCTAGAAGAGTTAAGAATTAAAGAACAGCATTGTGGAAATTCAGTTTTTCAGTGGCAGAAAGTTTCAATGAGGGGTTAAATGTTACCTGTGAATGAGGCAGGTTGAATTTCAGAGGTGGTGCCAATTCACTGCAGTGGAGGCAGAGGCCACAGGTCTCCATCTGCAGAGAATAAAATGTGTAATGCATCAAATTTTAATCAAAACCCAAGAAGTTAATGAACAATTTTTATTTTTTTGCAAAGTTTAGGTCTTTCACACCCTCTCTGGTGGAGGACCATTCTTACTAGGTGCAGAATTGTATCATGTAAAACTGCTCAAGAATGGATGGACTCCAGGCGTAGAGCTGAACACTGCCTCACTCTGGTATTTTCAGGCTTTCAGGTAATCCCTGTGTCCTGCAGCCAGGGAAAAAACCTGTTTGAGGTTAGCAGGAGCAGTTCTCCCAAAGATTTTCCTGCCTCTGGTTTCAGTAGATGATAAATGAAAATGTGAAAGCCTGATTAAGGAGTAAGGCCCATCTCATTGCACCTACCTGGAAATCCTTACAAACACAGTCCCCTTTGTGGTCCTCAATTTATGTACAAACCAGCCATTAAATGGGGTGTGTATACATATATATACGTGTGTATATATATATATATATATATATATATATATATATATATACTAAAAACATCCACCAAGAGACCTTGTAGCACAAAGCGTGGCATTGCCAAACAGCAGTTCGTGGGAAGGAAGGTCTAAAAGAGGAATGTGGTTGTCTAACCCAAGTCTATGTAGGTATTTTGTTACACAGCTGCTGATTGCATCATCCCAATGTGGATGGTGGGTGTCCTGACATGGGTCTTCATGGCTGCTATCTGCTCTAGGATGTTTCTTCTTTAAACTTCAATAAGGACTATAACCCCTCTTCCTATTCTAATTTGGGAATTGAATACCTCTCCTATCTGTCTAACATCTGTATTGTAACAGTATATTATAAAAGCTCACCTTGTGTATTGAAGCATGCTCCCAGTGAAATTATTTTTAACTACTGTGTTTTTCATTTCTGGATATCACTGCTTGGCATGATCCACCATGCTGGAAGTACGTCTCTGTGGGGAAGCCTGGGGAGGGGGAGGAGAAGGAGGGAAGGTAAAGCTGTGGCGTAATGTCATATTAAAAAAGTCACCCATCTGAGTGCAATGGGGGCTGTGAGGAGTTCTGTAGCTCCTCACCTGTTGTGTTGTTCAAGGCAACATTTGGGGGCTTTTTTGTTGTGGGTTTTTTTTTGTGTTGTTTTTTTTCTTTTTTTTTTTTATTTTAACCAAAGGGTCTCAGTGAACAGGGAAATCACATGAAAAGAGGAAGAATAATATTTAAATGATCCCAGAGTGAACTGTTTTGCTGTTAATACAGAAATACAGAGCAAGACACATTTAATGGGCTCTATTTTTATTATACGATGCTGAATAATTAAGTTTGAGGCTAAGTGTCACGTAGATTTATCTTTTAATTAAAAAAGCATGGTTCACGCGTATTTGAGTGGTAGTCCAAATAAATGCAATATAGAAATTTATGTTTGTTTATCTAGGTGTTAATTACCTAGAGATTGTTCTGGATTACTTCTTTTTATAAAGTGTCATAGGCTCATGTCACAAGTAATAAAGCTTAACAGTGGAACCTTATCAATTTGCTAACTATAACGCTAGTGTGACCTGGAGGAAAGGGAAAAAACCAACTTTGGAAAACGTTCTCTGTGTGCACCCCATTCAGCACATAAAACCCATGTGGTGAACAAAGCAATCATTTTTAAAATGTTCTCGTAAGTAAAAGTACAAATATATCTTCGGTGTTTTACAGCCTTTCATACATGTATTATTTATATAGCACACTGTTATTTATGCCCATGTACTACATGTTGTGCAAAGACAGACATGGTAAGCAACAAAATGCAGCTTACCTGGTGGGTGAGCTATTCATTTGAAGTATGAAGTAACACTTGCAAAGACCGAACACTATATTTAAAGTGAGATGAAACAGATGTAATTTTCTTAATATTTTAAAGGTTTTACAGCATTGCTAGCAACCAAGAGGATGGGAAAAGCAAACTGAAATCTAAAAAGATGGGAGGAGGGAAAGACTCTGTACAGGCACAAACTGTT